ATAGATAATGACTGAAAAGCTGGGAAAACTCCCCCAGATGATTAAAGATATTTAGTCATAGATTCAAGAAATTGTTAGCTACTAGGAAATTACTTTTAGAGACAAGTTCTTATACTTTAAACACATGTTTCAAAGTTTTTATTTTGAATAAGGCTTTCCAGAGAAACACGGCCAAAATCCTTTAGTGACATGTTTTTTTTTTTTTTCAGTATGGAAGCTTGAATCCAGGGTCTCATACATGTTAGGCAAGGCTCTACACTGAGCTAATGTCCTCAGCCCCAACTCATTCTTTTCAGGAGCTACAGTGGAGGCCCTTGTTGCCACCACTTTTCTGAACATGAGATATGACCTCGAACTGGGCATGCCCAGGAATGTATCCACCTCTACATGTAATGAGCCTTTTCTATACAAAGATGTGTAATTTACCCTAATAAAAAGCCACTTGAATTCCTCAGGGTGAATACTGTCTTGAGAATCATCTCCAGTGCACCTTCCTTACTGTTTTTTATTTTCTGGTTGTGTTTGCTGCCTTTGCATTAGAAGAGGCTGACCCTCTGCATTGGCTTGAAAAGATAAGCTATAGGATAATTAAGTCTATGCCTGGGGTTGGAGAGATGGCTCAGTGGTTAAGAACACTGGTTGCTCTTCCAGAGGACCTGGGTTCAGTTCCCAGCACTCATATGGCAGGTAACAACCAGCAGTAATTCCAGTTACAAGGGATCTGATGCTCTCTTCTGATCTTCTCAGGCATTGCACAACACGAGTGCACCTACCTACATGCAGGCAATACACTCATAAAATAAAAATAATTTTTAAAAATTGTAAAAAAGAAGTCCATATCTGTCCACATTCGCTGACAGTTCAATAGTTTGAAATCAGTATACCTAGTTCCCTCTTCTGGTTGGCTACAAAAAAAAAAAAAAAACCAAAACAACAACAACGCAACAATTTTTCACACGTTGTAGAACCAGGTTTACCACCCACTGGCTCCTTCATTTATAGGCTAAATGACCTTGCATTTATTTTTTATTTTGTTTAGAACAGGATTTCATGTAGCTGAGGCTGACCTTGAACTTGCTAAGTAGCCAAAGATGCTGGCAAGTAAGCATAGGGCTTCATGCATGCCAGGAAAGTGCTCTTCCATTAATTAGACTGTTACCCTAGCCCCTCTGTGTTTATTTTGTATTTGATTAAATTTTTAAAGTTTCTGAAATCTATACTTTGAATATACTCAAAACAAAGGGTTCATGAAGTAGGTAGACTGGCTGTGGTGGTGCAGACCTTTAATCCCAGCGCTCAGAAGGCAGAGGCAGGCTGAGCCATCTCTCCAACCCCATCTTACTCCCTTGAGATAGAGTCTGTCAATGAACCTGGAGCTAGATTGGCAGCCACCAAGCCCAACTGACCTCCTGCCTCTGCCTTCCACAGCACTATAATTATAGGATACGGTCATTCCTGCCTTAGATATTAAAGTTACTGACTATAATATTTAATAACAAAATTAAAGGGACTATACAAGAAAAGGTGAAATTTGGTTTAAAATTGAAACTATAAAAAAGACAGATTTGAAAAAACTAATCAAAATAGGAAATTAAAGATACAAAATAGGGGCTAAAGAGATGGCTCAGTGGTTAAGATCACCAACACTCTTACAGAGGACCTGGGATTTGGTTCCCAGCACCCACATGGTGGCTCCTAACTGTCAATAACTCCAGCTCCAGGGGCTCTGATGCCATCTTCTAGTCTTCTTGGGCACCAGGCATGCATGAGGTACACATACATATATGCACCATCTCACACACACATTAAATAAATGAATCTTTAAAAAATAAAAATAAGCCAAGCATGGTGGCACACACCTTTAATCCCAGCACTCAGGAGGCAGAGGCAGGCAGAAGACAATTGATGTCTCTGAGTTCTAGGCTAGTCTGTGAGACCTGTCTTTCAAATAAAAAGATTCATGACACAATGCTTTTTTTTCTTGCATTGACTTTTCTGTCTTTTTTTATTCTTTTCATTCTATTAAAATAATTCTGAAGCTGCATCAAGTGGTACAATCTGTAATTCCAGCACTTTGGAGGTTGAGGCAGGAAGGTGAAGAATTCAAGACTAGCTTGGGCTACTTGAGAATCTGTCTTCAAAAAAAATTCTGCATTCAACCTGCAGGTTGCAATATTCTACCTTACCAGACTTGGTGTGTGGGGACAGAATCTCTCTGTCTCTGTCTCTGTCTCTGTCTCTGTCTCTGTCTCTCTCTCTCCCTCCCTCCCTCCCTCCTCTCTCCTCTCTCTCTCTCTCCTCTCTTTCTTTCTTTTATACCAAACACATTCGGATTTCTTTTCTTTTTTTAACAAGTGCCAAAGATCCAATTTACCAACTTTTTAAACCTAAGCTTAACATTACATATTTAAACAGTTGTTCACACTGACGAAGTCACCAGCATTCATGCACAACTAGAAAACACCCTTAATTTATACTAACCAGAAATGTATTACCATTGATGTAGTAATAACTGTCATTATGAAGCACTGAAAGAACTGAAATACCTCTGTAGAAGATTCCTTTCGGCAAAGTTAACTTGACAGAAAGTTGACACTAGGCTGATATCAACACAGTTGAAGCAGATCCATGCTGGTGTTAAGAGAATAGTCTTCTCGCACTACTCAGTTACAGGCTCACCTTGGATTACGTTTTTAAATTAGCAAAGTGCATACAGAGATTACAATTTTAAAGAAGAAGAAGAAAAAAAAAGGTCCTATTGTGTGGTCCCAGCAACAAACTCAAATACAAACGGGGACTCCGATGAGCTGTTTATAAATACTTTAGGAACAATTACAATGAAAGTCTTGTTCGTTTGAAATTTAAAAAAAAAAATTCAGATCTATATTCTTAAATCTCCACTGACAGTTAAATTTCGTTTGTTTTCCTCGCCTAGGGGGTCACAGGACCTTTGCCACTGGCTTGTTTTGGCTTTCCAGGATCCGCTGGAAGTCAGGATCGGGATCGCCCCCACCTTGAGGAAAAGCCCCAGGCAGGTTAGCCTCTGCAGCGGGTTCTGAGGGCCATTAGGAAGTGAGGAGTCCTGGAGATGACGCTCTGCGGTTCAGGCACAGGCGGGTCTGCCTGGGTGGGGCTTGAGGGTCTTAAAAGACAATCACAGAGTTTCCGGCCCATAGTTCTGTGCCGGGCACAAAATCTTGAGAGCGGAGGGGGCAGACAACTCCCGAACTCAGGGTTTCTCCCGAGCACACTCAATCCACTTCCTGCCTGCCGTGAGTCGGGGGCTTGCTGCCAAGAGAAGGTAGCCTTTGTGTGTCTGCTAGGTCCTGCTTCGACGGGGTAAGGACGCGAGGAAAAGTGACCAGGAAAGGAGCTGACTGACCCTTCTCGGCCCGCCCCCAGGTCACCTCTGCCTTTAAATCTGCCCCTTCTCAGAGCCCCAGCTCTGCTTCCTGGGCTGGTTGGGGTGCCCAGACTCTTCACTGGCACGATCCATGGCTGAGCTGGGCTTCACGAGGCTGCGGTGGGCGCTGCTGGGCTCGCGGGTGGCCGGCCGTGGCCTTTGCCCACGAGGGGCCAGAACCAAGGCCGTGATTCCTGCCGCCCTCCCGGGAGACCCGACAGCCGAGAGGCCTGGAGCTAGGCAGGACCGGCGGCAGCTGCGGAGCCTAGAGGAGGTTCCCAGGATTGGACAGCTGCACTTTTTATTCATGCTGTTTGTACGAGGCTATGCCCTGCGCTTCCACGAGCTCCAGGTAAGCTGGCAGGGGCATCGCTTCCTGAGGATGGGGATGGGTACTAGGATAGAGAAGCTGGGTGTGGGAGAGATGCGGGACAAACAGAAAAGGATGCAGAAACTTAGCTCACAGCTGTCTGGGGCTATGGTCATAAATTGGAAGACTGTGTAAGGTGCAGACAAGAGTCCTTTGAACTAAGTTAAACAAGTGATGAGTGGTATGGATCGGGAGAGCATCAGCAGGAATGTGCCTTGGAAACCTGTCTTAAAGTGGACAGATGTTGGGAGAGGAAGGGGCTGTCTTGGGAGAGAATGGCTTGTGTTAATAACAGCAAACTGTCAGAGGCTGCTGTTCAGCTCTGCAGTGATGCTGTCTCCTCCAAGACTTCTTTTTAAATTTTTTATTTTATATGTATGAGTGGTTTTTTAGTTTTTTAATTTTGTATGTATGTTTTACCTGCTGTAAGTGTACTTTGAGTGTGAAATTCCCACAGAGGCCAGAAGAGGGCATCAGATCCCCTGGTACTGGAGTTTTAGAAGGTTGTGGTCCACCACATGGATGCTGGGAACTGAACTGGTCTTCTGCAAGAGCAGCTAATGTTCTTAACCCCTGAGCCATCTCTCCAGACCCTCCCTCAGAATTCTTATAGAGAAACTAACTTCAGGGAGATTACAAAGACTTCTTGACCAGCTACAGGATCCATTTCTCCTTCATGGGAAAAGATTGCTTCTCTGGAAGGGAAAGCAAAATCATCAGCAGTGAAGAACAAGAGTTACTCATTGTGACAACAGGAGCGGGGGCAGATTGAGCTACTACTCTCCGGGAGCCAGACTGAGGGTGAGGATGAGGGATAGGGAAAAAATGATTAAGTCCTACTTTCCCTCCTGCTGTCTGTCAGGCTCACTAGGTACAGAAAGATGGTTAAGAAACCATTCCTAGTGGACCTGGCATTTGTAAGCCAAGAAATAAGGGGGCTACAAAGTCCCTCTGCTTGATTCAACCTTTAGAATGTGAGAAGTCCTGGGAATGCTTAGGGACTGGGGACTTAGGCTTTCTCAGGAGGATTTGCTCAGGAAGAAATTCTAGATGGCTTTACAAGGAGGAAGAGGAAGCAAGACAAAGCCAGGAGGATGTGGAGTTTTTGTTTTTTCTTTCTTTTTGAGGCAGGGTTTCTCTATACAGCCCAGGTTGGCCTCTAACTCTCTTTCTTCCTGCCTCAACCTCCCCAGTGCTAAGATTACATATGTGTACCATTAAACCCCAGAGATAGGCAGTCTTTTTAAAAAAATATTTATTTTTATTTATGTGTAAGTGCCTGTGTGAGGGTATGCTATGTGTGTGCGGGTGCCTGTAGAAGCCAGAAGAGAGGGTTGGATTCCCCGGAGCTGGAATTACAGGCAGTTCATGGGTGCTGGGAACCAAACTCGGGTACTCTGGAAGAGCAGCAAGTGCTCTTAACTGCTGAGCCATCTCTACAGCCCAGAGAGGTGGTCTTTGAAAGGAGTGCCTAGGGCTACAATTTTAGGGCAACCTCTAGATATCTTTAAAATTTTTTTTATTTGTTTTTATTCTATGTGTATGAATGTTTTGCCTGTACCTAAGTTAAGTGTACCTGTGTTATGCAATGCCCATGGAAGCCAGAAGAGGGCATTAGATCCCCTGGAACTGGTGTTAAGGATGGTTGTGAGCTGCTCTATAGGTGCTGGGAACTGAACTCTGGTCTTCTGCAAGAGCAACCAGTGCTTACTGTTGAGCCATCTCTCCAGCTCCTCTAGATAGCTTGATCATATATGAGCCTGAGCTGTCCCATAAGAAATACATTAATTTTCTTCACTACATGTAACTAGTATGAGTTATTAGAGGGGTGTTGTACATCTATAAAACCAAGTGACAACATTTTAAAAAATATTTATGTATATATATTTTATATGTATGAATATTGCCTGCATGTATGTAAGTGCACTCATGTCATGCAATGCCTGTGGAGGTCAGAAGAAGACATCTGATCCCCTGGCATTGGAGTTATGGACGATTGTTAGCCATCATGTGGGTGCTGGGAATTGAATTCAGGTCCTCTGCAAGAGGTTAAGTGCTCTTAACCACTGACCCATCTCTCCAGCCCCGGTGACAGCATTATTGAGGAAGACAATGTGCTTCCATAATTATCTTTGTATCAGTTAAAATTTGTTTGGTTTGTCATTCAAGCTATCTTAAATGCTAAGGTGGGAAATTCCAATAGTTTAGTATCCTTTGGGTATGATTTGCTCCAGAGATTTATCTTAGTCCATTTTGTATGGCTATAATGAAGTACCAAAAACTGAGTGATTTATAAAGAAAAAGATTTATGTTGTTCAGTTTAAGAAGTTTAAAGTCCAAAATTGGTGGCTCCATTTTGCCAGCCTGTCACAATGTTACCATGATGGGTGGCATCACATGGCAGGAGCTTGTGATGTGCAAGAGAGACAGAGAAGGGGCCAGGCTGACTCTTTTATCACGACTTGTTTTTTGTGGGATTAGTTTACTGCCATGAGTCTGGAGTGGTTATAACCCAAACTCTTTCAATTAGTTCCCATCTTTTAAAATTCCTACCATCTTTCAATATTGTTACCTTCAACATATACACCTTTGAGAAAGACAGACCATATCCAAACCACGACATCCCACTGCACCCCCAAAGTTCATGTCTTTCTTATGATGTAAAATGCATTCATTTTGTGCCAATACTCCCAGAAGTCTTGTTTGAGCACCAAAGTCCAGCATCTTATTGGAGACTCAAAGCAAACTCCTTTCAGCTGTTAGCCAAGTTAAAAAAAAAAAAAAAGCTATGTCCAAGATACAAGTAGGATCAATATTCCTGTCCCATGAGAAATGGGCCAGAAGAGGGAGGGCCCAGATCCCTGCAAGACTGAACCCTTTCAGTGCACACATTAAATCTTAAAGCTCCTGCATCTTGTGCATACTGGGGTGGAGATGGCTCCCCCAAATCTCCAGTGGTCCTGGGGCTGCTTTCTAGTTGCTGGTACCTGTGGCTTCTCAGGTGGGTGTTGCACAATGCTGCTTGCCCCACCTTTTCTTGGGTCCTGCCTCTGGCTCCACTTCCATGGCTCTACTAGCCCTTTAGTGGAGACTTTATGGTGGTTCTGCCCTTATGGCAAACTTCTGCGGGACCACCTGGGCTTTTTTTTTTTAATTTTTTTTTTTGTCTTTTTTTTTTGAGACAGGGTCTCCCTGTAGCCCCAGCTGGCCTGGAACTCACTATGTAGACCAGGCTGACCTCGAACTCACAGAGATCCGCCTGCCTCTGCCTCCCAAGTGCTGGGACTACAGGCGTGCGCCACCGTGCCCGGCTGGCTTTTTCTTTTTTAAGTTACAAGTTATTTTATGTTTTTACATTTATTGTGTGCTATGGCAAGTGTGCGGAGGAAAACTTGCAACTCTCTCTATCATATGTATCCCAGGAATTAAACTCAAGTCATCAGGTATGGCAGCAAGTATCTTTACCTGCTGAACCACCTTGCCACCAGACTCCACTTTTTCTTTTCTTTGTTTTAAATTTAATTTAATGTGTATAAGTATTTTGCCTGAATGTATGTAAGTGCAGCCATGTTGTACAATGTCAGAAAAGGGCACCAGATCCCCTGGAACTGGAGTTACAAATGGTTGTTAGCTGTCATGTGGGTGTTGGAAACTGAACCCAGGTCTTCTGCAGAGCAACCAGTGTTCTTAACTGCTGAGCCATCTCTACAGCCTGTTTGGCATTATTTCTAATCTCTCCAGATCACCATGGTCCCATAGCCCCTGTATTCTATGTGTAGCAGAATTAGGACCACATGTACTTGGCCAGGCTGTCAGCTTGCTCCAAAGGCGCACCAGTGGCATAAGCTGTACCCAGCCCATTTGAACAGTGACTGGGTGGCTGAGTGCTGTACTGGGAGAGGAAATGCTGAGGACCAGGTTTCCTTGGGTAGCAGCCCTCAGGTCTTCTCTAAAACCATTCTGTCCAGGGATTTCTGGACCTGTGGTTAGTGGGACAACCTGGATTATTTTGGGGCTTCTTTGCCAGAGTTCTGACACACAGCAATGGCAATGTCCTCAAGTGGTGCCTTAGCTATACCGTCTCATGCTTTTTCTTTGCTTTTTGTTTGTTTTGTGGTTTTTGAAACAGGGTCTTCCTGTGTAGCCCTAGCTGGTCTGGAACTTACTATGTAAACCAGGCTGACATCGAATTCACAGAGATTCATTTGCTTCTGTCTCTCCAGTGCTGGGATTAAAGCCGTGCACCACCATTGACCTTTTCCTTTGCTTTTTATTTAATTCCTTTCCAGATTTAAAAACATTTTTTAAATTTATTTTTATTTTATGTGTATGAGGATATTAACTGCATGCATGTGAGTGCACCCATGTTGTGTAATGTCCTCGGAGGTCGGGAGAGGGCATTGGATCCCCTGGAACTGAAGCTGTAGATGGTTGTTAGCCTCCATGTGGGTGCTGGGATTTGAATCTGGGTCCTCTGCAAGAGCAGTCAGTGCTCTGAACTGCTGAGCCATCTCTCCAGCCTCCTTTCCAGATTTTCAGTCTCCATCTCCCAATACCCACAGCCTTTCAAAGTGCTGAGAATGAAAACCTGGGCCTCGTATAGGCTCAGCGAGCACTCTACCACTGAGCAGCATCCCAGATCTTTTTCATTAGGTAGCCCAGGCTGGCTTCTCCTACCTCCACCTGTTGAATGCTAGGATTACAGGTATGCACTGTCATGCCCAATGCTCTGCTCTCTTCTTAATTATAAATTCCACCATTAAGTCATCACCATTGCTCCTGAATCTTACTACATGCAATTTAAAAAGTGTCTCACATAACTCCTTTTATATATTACTTAGAAGCTTCTTTCAAATACCCTTAAGTCATCACTCTTTTTTTTTTTTTTTTTTTTTTTTTTTTTTTTTAGGTCTCCCTGTAGCCCCAGCTGTCCTGGAACTCACTATGTAGACCAGGCTGGCCTTGAACTCTCAGGGATCTGC